AAAAAACTTTTAGTTTCAGAGTCGGTTTAAATATATAGGCGTGCAATTTAGCTCCACCCAAGAGAAATGTTATTCTATTCCCAATATTATTACATGTACCCCTATTTATGTCAGAGTCGGATTAAATTATGAATTGAAATTGTAAAAAAATAGCTTTTTTCAGACTGTTTCAATAATTTCCCTAAAAACTATTTTTTTATTATATATAAATCCAACAAGTTCTCTATTTTAAAGATTTCATGATCATTATATTAGCAGAATATTATATAAATTCATCATTCAAATATATTTTTTAAACATTTTTATATAAAATTTGTTACTCAATTTCATTGGTTAGAATAGAATGAATAAAACATTAATTTTTCTTTCCAGATTTCAAGTTTTATTTTTTTAAAACTTGCAGCTTTTATCTAGTTTTTTCCTTCATAGAATGTTGAGAATTTGTTATAGAACAAAAACTTCATTTCTTTATTATGAATTTGTTATAGAACAAAAACTTCATTCTTTCTTATGATAGAGAATCTATTAAAGATCTTTTTATCATTATGTGTGGGAGGAGAAAATCAATAGACATTGGTGCATTTAGAAATGCCATTATAACATCCTAGCTTTAAGTATAATAATATTAAAAACATATTATATAATTAATAAATTATTATTTTTCTCTTTAATATTTAATTATATATATACTTTTTGTTGGTGACAAAGAATTAAAATATTATTTTTCTTTCCTACCTCCAATTCAAATTTAAATTTGAAGATTTTCACCTTTTTTTCCGAACCGTCGGAAGTAAAATTTTCCAAATTCTCTGAAATTTTAGCTGGTGAAGTTGGTTTTAGCAATAGGCAGGGATTTATTTAACCCATGCCAAAAAATGCTCAGGCTTAAAAAAAAAAATCATATTTGTAATTTTTATAAGAATCTATTTTTTGTGGCCTCTATTGATTTTGATTTTGATTTTGATTTTGATTTTGATTTTGATTTTGATTTTGATTTTTTCAACATCATTAATTATTATATATAAAAATAATTATAGAGTCAAAGAAAATAAAGTAAATGATATTTCTTGCTAGCTTTATAGGGGGGACTGCATGGAGCCACCCTAGTACAAGAGAACTGGGTTGGTGATAACCAAGTTCTTGTTCAAGTATCAGACCTATCTTTGGTGCATATTTCATTAAAAATACTTTTTTTTTTATTACTTTTGACATATTAGTTTTTCACAAACATTTTTTAACCAAAACTTATTATAATCTAGCTTCATCTAGTTAAAATGTTTTGAAAAAAGTACCTCTTTTAATGTCATTTTAAAGTCAACGTCGTATTCTCGAAAACAAAAATTGCTTCACGTTAAAATTCAAATATTTAAAAACGTTACTATAAACAATATTTAAAAATTAGTTGACATTTTCTTTTCCTCTGAAATAAAGATTGTTATTAAACAATAAAACTGATTGATACAAAAATAAATGACAGACGCAAAACAATATTCATTGGAGTTGTTATCTCCATAATGGTTGTTATTAGGAAACATTTTATAGTTTATATTAATAACAAGGTTGTATTGAGAAATGGTGTGAGGAAGGTCGCAAAGGTGGTGTCAGATAGACGTGCGGGGGGTTGTGTAAAGTTTTGTCTGTGTAGGAAGGAAAAGATATTGGTGGTGTTTGGGAGGCTGACACTTTGATTTGATGGTGGGGTATACCTTCCTACTCTACTCTGCTCTACTCTACTCCCCCGTCAATCAATCAGTCTTTGTTGTTGTTACTGACACTGAAACGACTTAACCACCACTTGTCCTTCCTCTCCTTTTAGTATTACTATTAAATTATTACTTTTTTCACTATATCTCTGCCTTCATTTCATTTCCTTTCCTTTCATGTCTACTCACTCGATTTATTTTCAAATAAATGTTTACTTTTGTTCGCAAGTATGATTTTGAATCGTTGGAAATTTTAAAGCATCTTCGGAATTGGAAAAAAAATAAGAATTTTGAGCATATATGTTATTTCATCAGCTTTCTCAAAATTATCTCAAAAATAGATAAATGTAAAATGGATAAAACATTTGGATATTATAATGAATAATGGATTCTTTAAAATGGAAAATATGTTAAATTCAAAGATCTTTTAAAAAATTACATTTGTTTTCAACGGGATTCTTCATTTTAAGGAATTCAACACTGATTATGATAATAAAATAATAATTGTTTTCAATGTTCTTCGTTGGTCACGGTATAATAAAACATATTTCTAATACTAATCATTTATGTGGTGTTATGCATATTTGGAGAATAAAACTTTTTTTCTTTCTACATTCTTTATTTTGGAGATAGTTTTTGAGAATCTGTTAAAATATAAAATTGAGTCAAGATCTTTATTTTGTATGATCTCTCTATTTTGAAAAATCGTTATGCGTTGAAGCGTGATTGATGTAATTAATTCTCTTTTCTTTAGGAATAGAATATATTTAACAATAAGGAGCATGTTTTCGGTATTTTTGTATAGAATATACGATGATTGGGCAGCATGATCATTACAATGAAAATGATAGGATTCCTAGATTGTTTTAAGTGTCGTTATATCTTATTTTTTTTTGAAAGGCAAAAGGAAGGACAAGGACAAGTGTCGTTATATCTTATAAGATTTAAGTTTACAAGACTAAGATATAATTTAAGTTTACAGGACTAAAGAACGAAGTTTCCTATACATAACTTTTACAATAAATATATGTGACGGTTTAGATGTCGGTAACAAGTTTTTTAGGATCCTTTTGATATGAAGCATCATATTAGCAATTTTGTAAGACCACATGTTTTTGAGACTTTATTCAAATGATGTCCTATAAAATAGTTAACATGACAATTAATTAAAAATGTTGTAACATTTCAAATATTTAATAAACTTTTCCTTAACACTTTTACATAGGAATAACTTATAAATCCTATAAAGAATTGTGATTGAATACACTTTAGAAGTCCTGTAAATTCAATATAAATTGTGTGGTGATTAGACTAAAGTGAAAAAAAGTGGGTTTGATGGTCACTTTATGGCAGTAAAGATGAGTTTTTTGGCCATGGTTTCTGGTGAGAGTGTTTTTTATTAACCTGGATATCCAACCAATCCATTATGTCAGGCGATTAATCCTAGAACGATCATCTGCTTTGCAGATAGCTCGAACTCACTGCATTTTAACCTCCGTGGTCACAAGATGATTTTTGTTCCTCCTTGGATTTGAACATGGGACCTCTTGGTATTTTTGACCTTTGGAGTCAAGCTCAAACCACAATGCACCACCTTTGTGGTTTGGTCAAGAGTGTTATGGGAAGAATTAATGGAAATAGAGTGATAAGAACATTTCCTAGCGACTGTTATTTATGTGTTTTCGCCGGAGAAAGCCTTCCAACCGGCCGTTAAAAACCTTGCCATTTTGCAGGTATTCAAGAGCGGCCGCCATATTGGGCGAACCACCATTCACTCCGGCAAACCACTTAAATATGAATTTTAGTGTTTTATTCCACCTTAAAAGCTTTTCTAGTGAGTGGAAAAAATAAACATTATCTGGTCTTCGATTCCTGCGAATTCATTTTGTTTTTTTATATAAAATTTCTACTCCAATGTTGCATCTTTTACCCATTGTGAATGTTAGGGTTCTACATTGGCTAAGGATTCGACACCTTATGGCAATCATTCTCTCCTAGGTGACTCTTTTAGAAAATAACCTAATGGAGTTCTATATTTTCTCACATGGTACCCGAGTCGTTGTCTACCTTCCTAAGGATTCGACACCTTACGGCAATTTGTACTCGTCTAGCCCCTTTACTTGTTACACTGAGAAATTTTGTGTCCATCTAGCTTCATGGAGAGACGTGTTAGAGTCCCGTATCGGCTAGAGTTAGACCATCTCTCCTCAAAATATCTTGAAACTCTCCTCTCGTAGGGTTTTTGTAAGAATAATCTACTGAGATTCCACATATTCTCACAATCGCTCGCTTTACTTGGACCATATCTAGATGACCACACTCCTTTCTCATCAAGAAATCACTCTTGAACTCCCACAAATTTATATCAAATTTCCCAATATGATCCATGTTCAATTCTGTCAGCCAATCAAAGTTCTTTTTACGTTGATAATGTCATAAGAGAACAAAGAACACTCCTTTGCCAACAAGACACCTTTCCTCGATTCTCTTGTCTGGGCACATCCTAGCAAGATGGCCGTGTTGTAAGTAAACAACAAACACATTCTAGATACTATTCGAAGCTTTTTTTAATCTTTGCCAAATGCCTTGAGAAATTGCATCTAGGGCGGGGCATCCCTCTCTGGCCTCAGCTATATACACCATCAATCGTCAACTTACTCCATTTATTCGAAACGAATTCTTTGAAGCATTACATGGTGTGTCACCCGCTTGTAATCTTCTGTGAGTATCGGGATGCTTGTGTCCTGTTCTACTCCAGCCTCATAAGCATCCCAAGCTGGAATCCTGATCATGCCTTTATTGTGTTCTTGTGCAATTTGTATTCTTCTATCCCCCTCGTGACACTCGGGGACATTAGATGGGGGCTTGTTAGAGTCCCACCATCGGCTGTACATGGACCTGTTCATCTCCGCCTCTATATATGTTGGAACCTTTCCTAGTCTCCTAAGGCTTTTTTGGAGAGTAATCCAATTGAGTTAAACATATTCCCACGGTGAATACAATGATCACGAAGAAAAAGATTGTATTATATAACCTCGGGCCTTGCAATTTTATAATTTCAAGTCGTTTCTTCTATCCGAAAAATACATGTATGTTTCATGAATGTATGTTATATGTGACTGCCTGAACTCACAAGTTTAGCTATTTAAAGTAGTTCACATTGTCCGGGGATGTGATGCTGATCTTTAGTCGTATAAGTGCTACTGGCCTTACTTCTCAATGGGTTATTGATTCATTAAATCACTTACATACACGTATGTATGTGTGTATGTATGTATATATATATATATATCTCAGATGATGGAACCGTATCATCGGAAGAAGAATTTAGTGGAGGAGAGACGGAAAACACCCAAGTGAGCCGAGAAGAGCAAGAACTGAAAGATACATTATTGCGGAAATTTGGTGGCCATATAAGTTCCCTTAGACATGAGTTTTCTAAGAAGAAGAAGAAAGGAAAGCTCCCAAATGAAGCAAGGCAAACTTTGCTTGAATGGTGGGATTCCCATTACAAATGGCCTTACCCTACGGTAGGTACTACATGTTTTTCTAATATATGCATATGGATAGATATTGTCATGTTAAGCAAAAGAATTGCAAAAAAAAAAAACAAAAAAAAATTGAGGAACACATTAGTAACCATTCAATTGTCCGGTATGCACATATGCATACAAGTAATTTTTCTGATTTGCTATGTGCACACATGCATATATACCAGGAAACAACCTCAATTACTTGTATGCACATCTTATACATGAATGGTTATTAGAGTGTAAGTCATTTTTTAAAATATAATTTCGGGGGGTTTTTTCTTCATCTTACTCTTATCTGTTCAAATAAAATAAAGATTTAAGAAATGATAATGATAATGGGAATTTGATGAAGTGATAAGTAATGAATGAATGTAGGAAGCTGATAAAATAGCGTTGGCGGAGTCAACGGGATTAGATCAGAAGCAAATCAACAACTGGTTTATAAATCAAAGGAAGAGGCACTGGAAGCCATCTGAAAACATGCAGTTAGCAATTATGGGTAGTTTTTCTGGTAATCAGGATTTTTATGATGATTGAAATTCTTCACAGAAACTGTATTTACGTGACAAAAACAATAATAATTATAAATAAATAAATAATAATTCAACAGAAATTACTCCTATTTTTTTCTTTGTATTGTCTGATGAAATAATTATTGTTTGGTACTCTTGGCATAAAAAGGTGTGGGCATACGGATGAAGTCAGGTCCTTGTTGGTTCATCCTTTCCGATCCTAATAAGTTCGGGTTTCCGGACCATGTACCATGTCTTCTTGACTGGTCTTTTCTTATTTTATTTTTTGACTGTAAATAGTTACTTTTTTCGTCCTTATGGTATGTTAAAATTTGTGACTTTTGGTCCATATGGTTTTGGAATTACGGTTTTGACTGTATAGTTTATAATTTGTTGTTGTTTTCATTTCTGAGATTAACTCCTTTTTTTCAAGTATGAACAATGAAGTATAAACCGTCAGGACACAAACAACCGTGTATTGTAAACTGAAGATTGTAATTTCAAAATTACAGGGTCGGAAATAGCAGTTCTTAGAAAACCACCGGGACGAAAAATGTAATGTAAATCACTCTTTTTTAAATTTTGACCTGTTTACTAAATATTTAATGTGTACTGATATCTCGATTCCTCATCCAATTAAAAATCTTCGGTTATTTAAAAAAAAAAATAATGACGTCTTTATAAGATTGGGGACAAACACCGGATATGGACCGAATTGTCTCACGACGTTCTGAACCCACCAACTCAAGATATGCTTAGTGGACTCTATGTCTTAACAAGTGGAAATCGTCGAAGGGTGGAGCAAAAATGAACTTTGGATTTAATCATTGTTTTTGTTTTTTTTTTAATTCGAAGAGGTAGGTTTGGGAAGGAAAAAAAGTTGACTATTTTATACATACAACTTTCTTTTAGAAGCTTGCTTGTTGAATAAGTCACTTTCTATATATCATTAAGCTACTACCAAACAATCAATACTAAATATAACTTTGGTTTTTTTTTTTGTTGTCAAATAATGAGTTTGGAGGGAGGGAGTTTAGAAAGAAATATTGTAGAAACATGTTGATGGGCCATTAAATTTATGGGCCTCTCGAGTCTCGAGTAATCCATGATTATGAATCCAAGTGGGCCGAATAAGTTGTTCTCCCAACTCCCAAGAATTTTTGGAGTAGATTCGGTTGTTGAAGCTGGAGATGGAAAGTTTGGAGGATAGAATTAAGTCAAGATTCATATTTTTCTGTGAAACTTGTAATATATTGTCTTTTGTTAAAACGTATTTTGATGTTATAATGTGAGGGAAAGTTTAAACTTGGTGGGAATTCAACCAATATCCCATAATACTATATACAAAATAAAACTCTCATTTAAGAAACATCACCTTTCAAGTTGTTATCCAATAAAACTATTGGAACCCTACTTTTTTATAAATATTTAATAAAATGATAGGGATTATATATATAGACTTGAGATCATGTGAGATCAAAAGTTTTTCATAAAACCCATGAAACCAATTCTCAACATTTGGATTAGATCTACAATCTGAACATTCATAATCGCAAAATTGTCACCGTCCAACTTTAAACCATTAGATCATTAGCTTATAAAGTTGATCAATGAACATCAATTGGTTTTACCGGTCTCACGAAAAACCTTTGGTCTCATGTGAACCCACACACACACACACACACACATATATATATATATATGTGTGTGTGTGTGTATGTGTGTGGGGGGGCGGGGGGCGCTAAATAAATGGAAAACTAAAAAATTATAAAAAGAACGAATAAAAAAATATAGAATATGGACGTCAAATTAACGCGAAAGATATGATTGTTATTTTGGTGTAATTTGTTTCGTTTGAATTTTTATCATATTTCATATTTTTTTTCGATTAAAAAAATAGGGGGTTTGAGATTTTTTAATATTAAAATGAAGTTATAACCTTCTTTTTAATTACATCCATTGGATTAATTAGGGAATATTTTTCAACTTCTCATTTTTTTTAGTTTTTCTTTGAACCCCCCCCCCCCCCCCCCCCCCCTTCTCTATATATGTGTCTCAAAAGACCGTGTGAGAAGAAAAATTAATGTGAGAAACGTAAGACGTGATCTAGACCTTTTATCACCTTTAATATTAAGCCCACCCATTAATCGCACTTGATACGAGAATTGATCACTGGTGCATCTCATTTTGGTGCATCTAATGGTGCGATTCATTCCTTACGCTTTTTAGCTTAACTCTCAATCTCATAGGAACCCACCCCTATATATATACTATAAAAACACTACTTACTAAAGTGATTAGTTCTAACGATCCTGTTATAGTCAGTTAAAATATATTCTTTTAGAGTTAGAACAACTCCGAAGACTCGTCAAGGTTTTATGAGGTTAAAACAAGTGAACAACTTTTATTGAACAAATGAATGCAAATACCAACATGCTCCAACCAATTGTATTTGTTAATTTTCATTTCATTTAAACCTATATCAACATGCAGTTTGGATTCACTATCAAACACTAATCATTCGTTGATAATGTTCTCTCATTATTTGTTACATTCTTTCACTATCTATTACGTACATTACTGAAGGTCATGGTTCCTGGTAACCCCATAACACAATTATCAGATCTAAAATTTTCGACTAAAGTATATACCATCATGATTAGTTCATAAGTATTCAATAAGTTTACAATACTAACAACTTTTTCTTTCTTTACGCTCAAAACAATACCAAAACTTCCTTGTGCACACCTCGATGACGACACAGGATTGCCCTTACGAAGCACTGTGAGTAGTGAGTCCAACCCATTGAATTTTTCGTCTTTTTATATATAACAACAAAGAGTAAATTGTATAATCTTAACATTACTTAACACCATTTCAATGAACCATATGTTCTGCAAAATATATTTGTATGGGTAAATTGTATGAAAAAAATAACGTACTTTAACTTGATTCCTATTTTGGATAACGTACTATAATGTAAAGTTTTAAACATTTAAGTACTTAGGTAACTGGTTCAAAACTAATTTTAGATTAAAAAAAAGACTAATTTTAGATTAAAAAAACCCATGTCAGTAACCACGTCAGCAAATAATACTGAGTTGGATACCACATCAACATGATAACCGATTACCCGAATACTTAAATGTTTAAAACTTTACAACTTAGGAACCAAAATGTAAGTTTTAAGAGTACATTATCCGAAATAGAAATCAAATTAAATTATGTTAGTTTTTCATATAATTTGTTCTATCTGTATACTGTTGACTACTATAAACTCTTTAATTGAAAAAATATATATAATTAAAATACATATTACATAATGTTATTGATATAAAATAAATGATTCATAACTTTTGCAACAACACTTTTAGATGGAATCAAAGTGAATAAAGAATAAGAAGAAAGTGGGATACACAATAAGGTTATCGTGCACCGCCCCAATATGACATGCTCATCTTTCTACGTTGTAAAGCATATGCTCATGTGTTATTCAATTCCTTCTTTTAACAATTTAACCCTTTTCATTCCAACAATCATTTCACTTCAATTGGAAAACATTAGAATGTTGTGCAATCCATTAGCAACCATCTTTTCCAATCAAATATCAGTAATATAAAATAATAACTGAATCGAGAATTAATGCTTCTAAAATGTCTACAACTGATATTGCCATCATATATAGTTGGGTTTAGTCTTTGGTTCGATATTGTGGTTTTGAAAAATGTGGAATTGAGAATGGAGCTGAACATAGTCGATTGTTTATGGGCAAATTGCATTAAAAAGTAACTTACTTTTTTACTTGATTTCGATTTTCGGTAATGTACTTTCAAAACTTTCATTTTGGTATCTAAGATGTAAAGTTTTGAACATTTAAGTACCCGAATAACATGTTGATGCATTAAACGGTTATCATGCTGATGTGACGAGTGATATCAACATGAATATCTTAATATTGAGTTGGATACCACATCATTCGCCACATCAGCATAGTAACTGGTTAATGTTTCAAACGATTACCCGAGTACTTATATGTTTAAAACTTTACATCTTAGATACCAAAATGAAAGTTTAGAAATTACGTTACCTAAAATAGGAATCAAACTAAAGTATGTTACTTTTCCATGCAATTTGCTCATTGTTTATAGCAAACTAAAAATTGTTAATGTTGTCTTTTTCTTATAAGTTTCTTGGATTTAATTGTGGACACTTGACCCAACAATCTAAAAGGATTTACTAAATGGTTTTGATTTAACGATACACGAGTCTTTATTTTATAGGAAGTCAAGTGTTTAAACCTTTTTAAAAGTGAGAAGTGTTTGTGAATTTATTTGTTCTATTTATCGGATATAAATATAATATGTAATAAAGATATTTACGGCATGGACGTTTCAATCTTTTTGAAGGTCCTGCTACATCCAAAACTATTGATTACATTGCATAAATAAGATAACAGAGAATATATGTTAAGAACAAAAATGGGCTAAACCTAAAACGATTAACAATCTTAAACTAAACCTAAACCATTGATGATTTGAACCTAAAACCAAACAATTAATTGTTTGAACCTAAATAATTTCGGCTATAGTTTTACACAGGTCGATAAAAGACCCTAAACACATGTAAATTTGGGCCACAAAATTTCAGGGTCTTTGTTCAAAATCTCATATTTAACATGCTAGAGGATGACCCTATTCATGGTTCTTATTTTGACTCTCTTTTTGTTTAAACCCAACTCTCCTTTACTTCCATTTTAATCATATTCCCGTTTAAACTCAGCCTATTTATTATATACTAGAAGGGTACTCGAACAATGCAGCGAGATAAATCACGATTTTAATGTTTAGTTTTTATTTTTTGTCTCTATCGATATAATACGATTTTATGTGATTTTGAGAAGGCGATGATGTTATTTTGAATTAAAATATAAATTTGAAAATAACATAAAAATTTGTAAAAAAATAAATCGATAATAGTATCAAATTAACTATTTAACAGTTCTCATTTTTTTGGTGTAACTTCTTTAATTTAATTTTTTTATTATAATTTAATTTAAATTTAATAACAAAGTATTTTATTTTTGGTTTAATAATATAATTTTTTACAAAAATAATACTTAAACATTATGTTAGAACTCAATAATTATTTTAATTATATTTTATATTTTTTTATATTTAGAATGGTTGTTTATCCTGTATTTGATTATGTTTATCAATAGTTAGTTACACGAATTTAAAATTTGAGCTTTAATAAGTTGTACTTATATAAAATTACTTGTAATCTTAAATTTTAAGTAATATGCATTAATAAATAGTACTTTATGAATAAAAAATAGTTTTTAAAAGTTTTTGTCAAATTTTTTATAATATAATATAGATATACATCTATAGAAATAGTAGGTATTTTTTTTAATTAATTATCTAAAAATAAAAAAGAACATTAAATTATATTTAAAAAAAAACATGTTTAATAAAAAGCAAAGACGCTACCAGCCTTATCCACTACAACCTCACCCATCGATATACAAATAAAAAGTATTATTTGGGTTTTTTAAATCGATACTTATGGTTAACGAAGTGTTTATATCACTGAAGGTATAGGTATAGCCCAATTAACTGTAAGGTTATAATTTATATTCACTAAAAGGGTATTCGTGTAATGCATTGAGATACATTTTGATTTTAATGTTTTGTTTTATATTTTTGGCTTTATCGATGTTATAATGCGATTTTATGTGGTTTTAAGGAAAAAAAATATTTTTATTTTTGAATAAAATATAAATTTAAAGATATTATAAAATTTTGAAAAAAATAATTGATATAAGTATCAGATTAACTATTTAAAAGTTCTCGTTTTTGTGTAATTTTTTTAATTCAATTTTTTATTATAATTTAATTGAAGTTTAATAACGAACTAATTTATTTTTGGTTTAATAAAATAATTCTTTTAAGATAATAGTTAAATATTCTTTTAAATTCAATGATTATCTTAATTATATTTTAGTTTTTTTATAATTAAAATGATGTTTATCATGTATTTGATTATATTTATCTGCAGTTACACAATTTAAAAAAAAGAGCTTTAATAAGTTGTACTTATGCAAAATTACTTGTAATCTTGAATTTTATGTAATATGCATAAATAAACAGTACTACATTCATAAAAAATGGTTTTTAAGAGTTTTTGTTAAATATTTTATAATATAATATAAATTATAGATATTTAATGTGTTAAAATACATTTTCTTTTAAGAAATAAATATAATGTTTATTTTTTTATATAAGTCATTAAAATTAATAAAATTTAGGAAAACTGATTGAATAACCGATCTATCTTCATTTTATATAAAATTGACTGAAATAACCCTCATACGAAGTATAATGATGAATTATATATTAACCGGTCTTGTTTCAAATCGGTTTTAGGCCTGATCATTAGTCCCGATCCTAGTTCTAGCCCAATCGGGCCGGTCCTACATTTGATTCCTGGTCCGGGCCGGTTTAATATATATGTAATATCTTTTTACACATGTGACACATGTTTTTATAATTATGATTTTTTATATTTTATACTGTGATACATTTCAAATAAAGCCTTTTTAATTTCTTAAAAAGTGTAACCGGTACTAAACCATCGGACCATAAACTGACCCAACCGGCCTACGCAGTGCCGAACCCAATTTGGTCATCTGTGATCTAATATAATTATATCAATTTAAATAATTTATATTATATAAAATAAAAACTTTATTTATTATATTGTATTTGAATATTTTAACATCATAAAGGATATTCTACAATTATTAAGACATTTAAAAGTTCAACTATAAGAAAGTGGCAGTTGGAAGGCATACAACAAGCACACAGCTTATTGAAAGCTGAATCAGTGCTTAATTGTATCCAATAGAAGCAAAACATGAATCACTTGTCTCTCATTGTTTTTAATCTTATGGTGTTTTTTTGGCTTTTTACCATAATACCCTCTGTTGAAGGGAGAAAGTTCCATAGCCCTTGCAAGAAGCATCACAAGGGTTCTGGACATTTTTGTAATTCTACAACCATCTTCAACATCTTGTCTTTTGGTGCTAAAGCTAATGGAGTTTCTGATGATTCCAAGGTAAACAATATTTTTTTCCCTAAATTTTGAACAAAAAAGATAGAATCTCTGAGGGTTTCCATCGTACTGGTCCATAGTCATCATGAGAAAAGTAAATCAACACATTCATCCCGCTGGTAAAGAAACAGTATTCCGGCGTCTTACTGGTGGACTCCACCTACACCTCTTTCGCAACTGTTGTAATTTTTGTTGTTATAAAGTCTCAAAAAATGATTATGTTTTTCAGTACAACTGTTAAGAGTCTCACATCAGCTAGACTTGAACCATTTATCCTTTATATATGTTGGAACCTCCATTTTTTCATCAAAAGACTCTTTTGGAGATTAAAATGGGGGTTTCACATATTTTTACATAGTATCAGAGCCAATCATATTTGGAGCAACCTGTACTCGTCTAGGCCCTACACCATGGGACAATCTATGCTAGCCTAACCTCCATTGAAGGGGGCATGTTAGATTCTCATATCGGCTAGGTTTGAACCATTTCTTCTTTATTTATGTTGGAGCCTTTTCTTATCTCCTCAAGGGCTCTTTTAGAGATTTATATGTGGGTTTCACATGCCTCTGGTGTGTAGCTCAATTGGTAGAAGGATGTAGCAATTTTGTTCAAATGAGACAGGTCGTGGGTTCAATCTGAAGCCCCACTAATCTCAGCTGCTGAATGAGCTTAAGTGACAGTAATGTCAATAAATGCAATTTATTATGTAAATTTATTTTTTATGTCTACATTTTGTACAGAAACTCATAGGAGCATGGAAAGCAGCATGCAAAGTTCCCGGAGGAGTTCTTCAGATTCCATTAAATCACAACTTTCTAATAAAACCTATAACCCTTCAAGGCCCATGTATGGGTCACATTATTTTTCAGGTGATTTCTCTATAAATATTTATAAACTGTTTCAGACAGAGGAATGAAATGACAGAGAATTTCCGTTCACCCCTTTTAACCTCGAATGAAAATTTGGGTTTATTGGGGGGGGGGGGGATAGATCCATTATATTATATAAAACCAAACAGTATTTTTTTATACTCAATTTTATTAATAACTATTTAATACCCCTAACCAAACAATCTCTTTTATGTAACAGATAGACGGAACTCTACTAGCACCACCCAAAATTGGAACATGGTCAAAGTCAAACTTGTACCAGTGGATAAATTTCAAATGGGTTTACAATTTGACCATCCAAGGAAGTGGTACCATTGATGGTCAAGGCTGTAATTGGTGGGATCCAATCAAATCTAAACACATTTCAGATATAAAACCGACTGTAAGATACAACTATTTAATAACTGAGTTACTGATGTTGACAAAATAATTGTTGAATTACCCGTTTTTTTATGTTGATGGTTGTGTTATCTGTTGAACTAGGCTTTGAGATTTTATGCAAGCGAAGATACCATAGTTCGTGATATCACGATAAGAAATAGTCCACAAGTTCATTTGAAATTCGACAACTCAGAACGAGTCAAGGTCAACAACATCACTATTTCGGCACCTAGAAATAGTCCGAACACTGATGGCATTCATCTTCAGAACACCCGTGATGTAGAAATCATGCATTCAAATGTTGGAACTGGTACGGCAATTTCGTTACAAAAAGCTTTGAAATTTTTTCAATTCTTTATCGTTTGCTATAACCAAGTTAAAGGGACCCTAAGTGGTCGTTAGGTCAATTCTTTGAGCAAACACTCAAAGTACTAGTAAAAGCATATTTTTTACGTAACAATATGAATGTTACCGAAAATTAGACAATAACAATATGAATGTTACCGAAAATTAGACAATAACAATTGATCGTATAACAGGGGATGATTGTGTTTCCATACAGACCGGGTGCTCCAATGTTCACATCCATCATATAAATTGTGGTCCCGGCCACGGTATAAGGTACCTCATACAAAAAATCAGATGACAATTTATACATTCAATGATTTTTTTAACCCTGAGACTGTATATAATATTCTATATTTTCTCAAGCCAGTTTTTTTTTTTTTTTTGTATGTATTAATTATTGTTCACCAATCTTATAACTTCAGTTTAGGAGGATTAGGGAAAGATAAAAGTACGGCGTGTGTATCAAACATTCTTGTAGAGAATTCTGTCATTCAAGATGCTTTGTACGGAGCAAGAATCAAGACATGGCAGGTATGGACATATATAATATGTAGAATTCGTTTTTAAAATGAATTGTACTGAACAACCCCTTAATTTTATCTGATTTTGTTCTAATTCTTGTTTTTGTGATAGGGTGGAAAAGGGATGGTCAAGAATGTTACATTTTCAAACATTGAGGTAGCAAATGTTAATTTCCCGATAGTAATCAACCAATACTACTGTGACAAAGTTGTTTGTCAGAACCAGACAAACTCTGTCGCGATAAAGAGTGTCAGATTTGATAGAATAATAGGGACTTATTCGACTCAACCAATACATCTAGCATGTAGTACTGACGTTCCGTGTACTGATATTGATCTTTCTGATATCCAATTAAAACCTTTCGGAGGACTCCTTGGAGGATCTCAACTTCAACGAGCTTTGTGTTGGAATTCATATGGGAACTCAAAGGGTCCATTGGTACCATCTAGCATCAACTATTGCTTAAGAAAGGGTGGGGGTGGTGGTAGTGGTTCGGTGCACGAAATGTCGAGATCTTATGATGAAGTATGTTAGTTGAGGGACTGTTTTTGTAAAACTGTAAATGTTGAAGGACCATTAATGTAACTCTAATGCTTGCATTGACTTTGGGCCTGGGCCGCTTGGTGGGCCAAGAATTTGCTTAGAACAATGGGCCAAGATGAGTTTGACTTAATTGACTTCAAGAAAATTAAGATATCACTTAATATTATTCGTTCTTTTTAAAAAACTTCCTTAAACTGATGACCTAAAAAAGCAATTCAGTGATGATCCCTCCATTTTTTCATAAACAATGAATGTCCAGCAGTTTAAATTTGATGGCCAAGAAACTGTCTGACCATTTATACATGAGTAAATAAATATTTTTCATTGTTTACTTCTGTAGTTGTTTTTGATGAATTATTTTTCTCTATCTTGCTCTGTCACATTGAGTAAGTATTTATTGTTTATAAGTTATTACCATTTTTGGGTATTGGTTATAACTGTTCTTGAAGTCATTCGGTTGAAACAACTGAACACATGACCCAAAAAGTGATTCGATGATGATCCTTCTAACCATTATTAATATTTAAAGACAGAATAAACATCAAGTACTTTAAATTCGATGATTCGGATTTTACTCCCATAGTTATTTTCAATGTTCTCACTTTGTTTATTTTTGTCTGTAATTAATAATCAGTTAAAAATGGTAATTGATATATGTCATTTAAAGCTATTTAATCTTATCTGTCAATAAAGTCAACATAGAAAATCAATGATAACCGTTTAGGAAACGTATGCTTTTACTAAATGATTACATTTATATGGAATTATTTTTAAAGTAATAACCCAAAGTATTTATTTTAATTACTGCTCTTGTTTTTGTTAATTTGAAGGGGGTGAAATGTAAATATGGAAAACCAAGGGTCTATGTTGCCCTTTTTGGAATCTTAAAACCAAAGTGGAGCCTTCATCATTGCAACATCGATTAATGGTAATCTTTAAGCCTAAGCCTTGATTAATGGTTTGATGATGCTTAGGAGTGTTAGAAAAACCGATTGGTGGTTTCCTGACGTTGATACGACAGTCGTAAGACGTTGATTAACGACTGCCGCCTTAAGCGTTGTTGGTGACTGGTGAGACCGATCACGTTGTTGTGCTGATTTCAGCCGTATTCAACCTCAAATAATTGTGTTTCTTTATTTGATTAAGTAATTACTCGTTTATTTTTGTAAATCTTATACAGTATTATTTGATTAAAAGCTGTAACCGAACGTGACTGGTTGAAACGATTAAACCTTATCTGGTGAGAAAACCAATAAGATTCAATATGTAATAAACTATGTTTCGGAAAATTTTGCATAAAGTGATGACCCATAATCGTGTATGAAGTTGTTTGGTTAAAGCGAACGATTATCGTTGCACCAATTATCTTTTCGTTATCATTGAATGTCCTGGAGTCTAAAATCGATGATGGTAAAACTGTTTGACCATTTATTCATTAATGAATAATTTTGTTCAAATTTTTACTTCTATATTTTTCTTTATGTTGCTCGTCATCTTGATTAAGCATTACTTTCTTTTTTTTGCTGTTGTTGATTATAACTATATCTGAAGTCGTATAGCCGAAATGATTCAATCGTATGAACCCGAAAAAAAAATTAATGACGATTCTTCTAATCATTATCTTGTGGGGATGAATAAACGTCGAGGATTTCATAGTCGATGATCTTGAATTTGTTTGATTAATAAAAGTTATTCATATTTTACTTATATAGCTATTTTTGCTTATTTTCTATTTGTTTGTTTTTGCTTGTCATTGATGAGTGATTAAAATCATAGCTTGTCTGTATCAGTTGAAATGATTGAACCTTATCTGATGACGAAATCGACAGATCTCATCTAGAAATTGATGAGAATTGTTTTGAAAAACGTACTTTTTACTGAAGGATTACTTTTATTTTAAATTATTTTAATCCTTCATGTAATAACCCAAAACATTTATTTTAATTAAGGAATTTGTTTTTCTTGATATGTAGGGGGTTAAATGTAAATATTGACAACTTGGGGGACCTGTGTTGCCCTTCTTGAAATCATAAGAACAATAATGTTGGTCTGTTCTGGAAACCACGTATACCATTTCAATCGCAACAACATAATCGATATTAAAAACTGTAACGGTTTATTTATAAAAAAGAAATATTTTTCATAGTTTACTTTTACAGTTATTTTCGATGAATCGTGCTGTCTATTTTGCCTGTCATATTGATTATGCATTTACTTTTTTGTTGAATTAACATTTACTGTTGTTGATTATAACTGTTTTTAAAGTCGTTTGGTTGAAACGACTGAACATATGACCTAAAAAATAATTCAATAATGATCCTTCCAACCATTATCTTTTCAAGACGAATAAACATCTGGTACTTTGAAATCGATGATCATAAAACCGTTTGATTGATGAAAGTTGTCATATGTTACTTCTATAGTTATTTTCAGTTGTTCACAATCTGTTTATTTTTGCCAGTAATTAAAAACCAGTTAAAACCGATAACTGTTATTTATTGGTTAAAACTATTTAACCTTATCTTATAATAAAATCGATAGATTTAGCAGGAAATCACTAAGAATCAATGATTACATTTATATTAAATTATTTGAAACATTTATAAAATAACCATAAACATTTATTTTAATTAATCTTCTTATTTTTTATTGATTTTAAGCTACTGAACCTTATTTGGTCAGAAAACTAACGAGGGTCGGTCTGTAAACGACCATGTTTAGAAAACTTGCAAATTTGATGACCCAAAAAGTGATCAACGATGATCGTTGCATCAGTTATCTTTTCGGGATCAATAAATGTCAAGGAGTTTAAAATCAATAATGATAAAACTGTTTGTCCATTTATCTGTTAAGAAATAAATGTCGTTCATATTTTACTTCTACAGTTATTTTTGATGAACTGCTTTTCTCTATTTTGCTCGTCATCTTGATTAAACATTTACTTATTTTTTTTGTATTTATTATCGTTTTTTTTGGTGTTCATTATAACCATATTTGAAGTCGTTTAGTTGAAACGATTTAACCTTATAAACCAAAAAGAAATTTAATGATGATTTTTCTAATCATTATCTTTTCAGAACGAATAAACATGTAGGATTGCATAAACAATGATCATAAATCCGTTTGAATAATAAAATGTATGCATATTAACCATAACCGGTCTCTATCAGTTGAAATGATTGAACTTTATCTGCTGATGAAATCGACAGATTTGGTCCAGAATTCAATAAGAATTGATCTGAAAAACATACTTTTTACTAAATGATTACTTTTTTATTTAATTATTTTAAACATTTATGTAATAACCCATAACATTTATTTTTTAGTTCGGTTTTATTGATCTAAAGACTGAAGAGGACGAAATGTAAGTATCGAGAACTGGGGGTGGGGGGTCTATCTTGTCATTCTTGAAATCATAAGAACAATAATGTTGGCTCGTCATAGAAATCACGTATGCCATTTCAGTCGCTGACATATAGCTCTCGAAATGGATCGTAGAACCAAGGTTTTTGAAAATGGCATATCAGTAACAATAAGTGAATTTTGTTAGTTAAAACGATTGAACCTTATCTGATTAGAAAACCCGAAAAGAGTCGGATAAAAATATTATTTTAGAAAACTCGCTTAAAATAATTATCTAAAATTCAGTTTAATTATGATCACGTGACCGTTATCTTTTTGGGATGAATGAAAGTCATATTTTATAATCGGAGACCATAAGGCGGTTTGATCAGTTATCCATCAATAAATAAATCTTATTACTATATTACCTGTATAGTTATCTTTGACGAAATCTGTTTCATCAGGCTGCAATAAGCACTTAAAGTTTTTGTAGGCGAATTAAAAGTTGTAACTGAACTCGGTTTGTGCATTTTTGTAATGTTTTTACTGAGACGTAATGAATCAAAGTACATGAAGTAGATCGAGTCATAAAATTTAACTCATAAATTAAAATCTCTTTAAAATAAAAAATATATAAACAAAACCAACACAAATAAGGTTGCTAATTCACAATTGAAAGGTTATTAAGGTCAACAAAGTTGACTAAGTCAGGGTTAGTTCGGTCATTTGGTAACTACCCGGTAGAATATTCTCGATTATTACTGAAACATGTTTTAAATATTAAAACTAATAATTATAATTTATTATTGTTTCCAATTTTAATACAAACTGTTGATATTTAAGTTATTATGTTTCTGATCTATCAGCCATTTCTTAGACCCACAAGTCATTAAGCACCTCACCAAATACCCATAAGAACGGTACCGAAGATTGTTAGATATCATATTTTAATTCTGTAGTTATTTTGATGAATTATTTTTCTTTATTTTGCTTTGCTACATTAAGTAAGCATTTACAGTTTTTTAATTATTACCATTTTTAGGTATTGATTATAACTGTTCTTGAAGTCATTCGGTTGAAACAACTRAACACATGACCCAAAAAGTGATTCGATGATGATCCTTCTAACCATTATCTTTTAAAGACATAATAAACATCAAGTACTTTAAATTCGATGATTCGGATTTTACTCCTGTAGTTATTTTCGATGTTCTCACTTTGTTTATTTTTACCTGTAATTAATAACCAGTTAAAAATGGTAATTGATATATGTCATTTAAAACTATTTAACCTTATCTGTTAATAAAATTGACATAATTCGTCGAGAAATCAATGAGAACCGTTTAGGAAAGGTATGCTTTTACTAAATGATTACATTTATATGGAATTATTTTTAAACATTTATGTAATAACACAAAGTATTTATTTTAATTAATGTTCTTGTTTTTGTTAACTCGAAGGGGGTGAAATGTAAATATGGAAACCCAAGGGTCTATGTTGCCCTTTTTGAAATCTTAAAACCAAAGTGGAGCCTTCATCGTTTTTTTGGAGTCTTCATCATTGCAACATCGATTAATGGTAATCTTTAATCCTAAGCCTTAGTTAATGGTTTGATGATGCTTAGGAGTGTTAGAAAAACCGATTGGTGGTTTCTGGTGTTGATACGGTAGTCGTAAGACATCGATTGACGACTGCCGTCTTAAGCGTTGGTGATGACTGGTGAGATCGATCACATTGTCGTGCTGATTTCAGCCGTATT